TTTTGGCTCTTTCTGCGCTAGGCTATGGTGACCATAATTTCCTGGAAAAAATAAATAAAGGACGAGACTGAAAAAGAGGCAAGCCTGAAAGCATAAAGATAAAACATTTTAATTGTTTATGTTTATAACTTGACTTTACAAAGGAAATCAAGAGCAAAGCCAAGAAAAAGTTTATTTCAGTTTTATTATATGCCGCCCAAAGTCCCTTCCTTGTGAGATGGGCGGCTCTATAAAATAGATAGATAGAGAGATGAGAGAATGATAAGAGAGACAGATAAATGAGGGATAGATGCTAGAAAGATAGGGATAGATGATAGATAGATCTAGATAGATGAATGGATGGATGGATGGATAGATGGATGGATGATAGGTAGGTAAGTAGATAAGAGAATGAGAGATAAGAGACATAAATGAGGGATAGATGCTAGAAAGATAGGGATAGATGATAGAGATAGATAGATAGATAGATAGATAGATAGATAGATAGATAGATAGATAGATAGNGCAATTTAGGATTGCATGGGCTTTTTTGGCTGCTGCTGCTGTTACAAGTGGTTATATTAGATTTAATTTATCAATTTAACAGTAGTTTGACAATTCCATCTCCCAGTGTTTTCCAATCAATACAGCTAGTCCTTGACAACTGGCATGTATTTATAACAGTTGCTTTGTTCCGGGTTCACTTAACAAGCAGATGGTTCACTTGACCTCTGTAGTGATTCAGTTATTACAACCATGGCAAGCAAGATTATCAAAAGAGGCAAAACTCACATAACAACTGCTTTGGTTCTCAATGGAAATTTGTGGTCGTAAGTCAAGGAACACCTGTATTTGCCTTCCAGGCACCCTGATTAAACCATTATCCTTTCCTCTCTCAAGCAGATGCTGTTATGAGAAAGTTTGATCAAACCCAGGTTCCAATACAGCATCACTTGAACAAATGGCATCCCTGTTGTTGACATAACACATAGGCATATTTCCATACATATCATTTAACGTTATGTGAATCAGAGTTGGGCAGTAAAAACCCTCTGGCAGATTTCTAGTGGATCAGCAAAGATTTCTATCACCCGGCTCTTTTAATAAAGGGAACGCACAAACATGAGTAAATTGTATCGCTAAAATGCGTTATAGATAAATTCTTATGCCAGTGTTTCTCATCCATGTCCCTTTTATGATAGGTGGACTTCAACTCCTAGAATTCCCCAGCTAGTCCTAGGAAATGCAGACAGTTGAAGTCCTCATGTTTACAGAGAATGAGGCTGAAAAACACTAGCAGAACAATTAAATAATTGATTTTGCCCCCCCCCCCCCAAGTCGGTCCCTGGCACAAATTTGTGAACTCAGGATCCTTTACATCGATTGTCTTGGCTTTTGTAAAATGCTGTGGATCTTGGATTCTTTAAAACTAAAGTCTATTTTGGCTGGAGCCCAGCTCTGGGAAGCCTTGCGGACATATCCATCCATCTATCCAATTTTCTGTAGAAGTGACTTGACATTTGGTTTTTTCAGGGACACCAAAGTTAGCAATGCCTTGGGCGGTTTCACTAGGGTGGAAAACATGCCAGGTTTTTTATACATACATACATACATACATACATACATACATACAATTTTTTTAGACAAACAAACACAAACATACATAAAACATAAAACCATCTTCCAGTTACATACAGTGTGTCAGTTGGTTACAGAAACTTTTGTGCATCGTCTCCATAGTCCTCACTTACAATTTATGTAAAATCTCATATTATCAATCTAGTGTATATACATACATTATTATCATTGTTAATCATTTATTTTATAGCTATTATTACTACATTTTATGCAAGATATTTTAAATTTTGAATTATTTTATATTGTGATTACATCTATGTATTATATTCTATATCATTCCATTATCCTTGTATTGTAAAATTCTCTAGCATATTTCATTTCCATATTTTTTGTCTAACCATTGATAGAATAAATCCCATATGAAATTGTTTATCTGCTTGTTCTCAAATTTCAAATGTCAATTTACTCATTTCAGCACGTTCCATTATTTTCTGAATAACTTCCTCCTGCGTTGGTGTTTTCTCATTTTTCCAATTTTAATTTCCAATACAATTCTAGCCACTGTTAACACATTTGCAATCAAATATTTCAGTTCTCTACTATATATTTCCAGTAAAATCCCCAATAAAAATATTTCTGGCTCTTTATGTTTTTCTGTCATTTTTTCCAACCATGTGTGAATTTTAGTCCAGTATCTTTTAGCTTCCACACATGTCCACCATATATGGTAATATGAACGTATCTCCTCTGACACTTTCCCTTTGGGACGTGGAAAGTGCTTCGAGGTGAGTTGGCTTTGATCCCAACTGGGGATCAAGAAAGCAGGTAGGCAGTGGGAGTGGAGAGAAGGTCCAGCATGGTGTCTTCCAGAGGCACGTCCCATAATTCCCAGCTAACATAGCCTTGAAGAGTTGAAATCTTAATCTCTGGAATACTGGAGGGATAAATACATTCTCGAGTGCAGAGGAGTGGAATTGCCTCTAGAAGGCCATCCAGGAACCCATTTCTA